TTTGGGACAATAAGGCGAATGAGTAAAACTATGGCGCCTTCCTTAATGAGTTTATTAACAAAAGTAAGAAATTGATTCATGAATTTGAAAACATTAAAATGAATATAGACATAATATGCCTAGATTATTTCACCAAATATGCTTGAAAGAAGAGCTTTATATATATATATATATATATATATATATATATATATATATATATATATATGGGATTACAATATAAAAATTTATATTAATTTTTATATATCAAGAACAGTTTTGAAAGAAATGATATATGATAAATTGGAACCTAATCTGATGAAGTCCTAACGGATTAAAAGCGTCACAAAAAACTTTTCTCAGTTTGTCTAAATCTCTCTCTCTCTCTCTCTCTCTATATATATATATATATATATATATATATATATATATATATATATATATATATATATATATATGTGTGTGTGTGTGTGTGTGTGAAAAGTGTATATAAATATAAATAAATATATATATATATGTATAATTATTTATATATTATATGCGCGGTACTTATATATATATATAGATAGATATATTCCACCTTAATGTTCGTATTTTTTGTGTTTTTCTTTATCTTTGGTCACGTGGTATAATTTTGACTATCGTCTATAAATATGCGTTTCCCTTTGCCTCTTTAGCCAGCTTTCCCTGACGATCCGCTTAGGTGAAACCTAGGTAGGTTTGTCTACCTCACTAGGTTCATCTAGTGTTATCTTTTGTTAGTTAGTTGTTTACTCGTATCGGTTTTTTTTCTTTGGGCTTCAAACCTGTATCTGTGCGATTTTTTTCGACAGACTTTCATGTTTCTAGCTCTTTCTTTTTTTTTAAAACCTTTTTTTTCCCTCGAGAGTGATTTGATTATTGGCAAATCAAAAAATTGATATATACTATATATATATATATATATATATATATATATATATATATATATATATATATGTATATATATATATATATATATATATATATATATATATATATATATATATATACAAACAAATGTTTTGAAACACAGTTTTGTGAGACATTCTAGGCAGGTAACTAATTTCGACAGAATATCGATGACGGTCAGATGACGGTCAATAGCCGAATTATTATGATACAAACAACAAAGATCAAGAAAACATCTGTCCTCATTTATCAGCGGTGGTGGGGTGGATATGATCCAAACTCTCCCGCGGATACCTGAAACTGCAGAAAGTACTGAAACATGATTATTGTGTCTTCCCAAATGTATGTTTCCTCTTTTTTTGTATTGTTGCTCTGGTAACGGAGCTAAAGTACGCAGAGTAAAACCGCATCGCACAGACACAATGTGACACACAGACACACACTGTGGCGCATGCACACTTATAAGGTTCTCTCTCACTTTCATTGTTTATAACAGTGCTTGAAAGAAAACACCACAGAGGTTCTCTCAGTGAATATGACTTGTTCAGAAGTCTATAGTCCAGGTATGACAACAAGAATATTTCCCAAATCTCGACTCTTGCGACTTTTCCCTCTTCAAAAATCAAATCCCACTTTAAAGTAACAATATTTCAAGACGCCTAAGTAATCCAAGAGAATGTGACGTGACATCTGCTAGCTCTCCCACACCCCAAAAACAAAGGAGTTCCAGGAATGTTTCCCTCAATGGAAACGACGCTGGATAAACTGTGTGGTTTGAGAAGGAGATTACTTCGAAGGAGATTAAATGCTGGATTGATATGGGTTGTAGTTTTCTTTTTATAGCGCCTTCCCGATACATTTTGATCAGCACACGCATATAGGATGATTTGGGGGGCCGTTAAAGACCACGGTCGGAAAGATTCATAGATGAAAAATCGGCGAAATGGCTCAAAAACAAAGAAACACTTGGATACTTTTAAAAAAATCACTAGGGCGCGTGTTCTTATTTTCAGCGTAGCGCATTAACCATTTGCATTCCATCGACATGGCCGGATGTAAAGATGCATTTGCTTTTAAATGTACAGGTGTGAAAAGCTACTCACAGGAGAGAGGCCGTGGCTGCGGAGGTTTTCTAGCTAACATGATATGACACTGTGGACTGTCAGCTTTGTAGCATATCGCCACAAACACAGTAAGTGTTGCTGGTATGGGTCCCGTAGCAAATAAGCTTCCACGTGTTTGACTGTTAAACCAGGTGCCTTCTCTTTGCGATATACGGTCATATCGTCATCATGTTATGTGTTATCGCTGTGGTTACTCTAGCTAAGATTTTTTTCACTCAGCGAACTGTGATTTTTATAGTTTCCTTTTAGTAAGATACTTTCAAAATGTTGCAATATACGATCACATCCTCATCATGTTATGTGTTACTGCTGTATTTTCCCAAGCTAATATTTTCCTCAGGCTCGTCGGGTGTTAGCTTTCTAGACTCCTTTTGGCAGCATATGGCGGAAGCCTTCTAGTATCCGGACGCAGCATCATCATGTTAAGTATTACTGCTGTTGTGATACTATTTGTCGTTGCCGCGATAAAACTGAAGAAAGTTTTGTCAAAGCTTTATGAAATGAGAGACATTGAAAAGAGAAGGGTTAATACCGAAACCCCGTGGGAAGAATTGAGGATTTAATTCCCACATAAACGTCTTGAAGTGTATGTCGAATAGATTGAACAAGGTTTGAAGCGTGACCCAGACATAAGGGGCAATGTTGATTGATACAGCTGCAAATACAAGCTGTCAAGCGAAAACTTCATTTTCTACGAATTTAGAGTTGATTCTCTTATTCGAAAATGTTTCTAGACGGGATGTGGGGGGATAAGCCACCCACGCTCACTGTGGACGTCTATTGAGAGGTAATGATATGAGAGATTGGGAGAAGGGATTTCCCCAAAATTATGTCCATAAATACGAATGCGCGAAGTGAATTCGCCAGCACAGTGGCAAGTCGGACCAGAAGAGACAGCGACAAAGAGAAGAGAGAAGAGAGGTCCACGTGATTATCTGCTGACGAAAGCCTCCGATTTCCGCCTTGTGCCAAACTTTACCAACAACAGCCAACCAGATTTTTGCCAGGCCGACGATAGTATCCCTTTCGATTTAGATGCGGGCTGGGCTGATAATTAATTGCGCACGAACTCTGACATAAACCAATTATTGTACAGAGGAGTGATATAAAAACAGTATTCACTTTTGTTTAATTTGTTTGAGTGTTATACTTTTTTTTCTGTACGTCTTCGCCCTGCTTGGACCAGCCCAATACAAATATACCTGCGACGATTCGGTCCTGGCCTCCGTATGATCAAACTTAAATCCCAACGTGGGATAGGGAAGGCCTGAGATCGAAGCGATCTTCATCGATCAGCCGCTGTGTTTGGAAACCTTGGACGACCGGATAATGTTCTTGCACGATGACACTGTGGATTCCGTTTTCCAACTATTAGTCTTAGCAGTAACAGCCACTGCTTCAACCTGTTAGGCGTTACTCTTTCATGGTCGCAACGTGGTGGCTGTAATAGCATGTATATCAACAAACAAGTGAATAATTTGTTCGAAATAAAACAAGAATAAACAATAGTAATGTGTGAAAAGCGATGATCACCTACAGGACACGGGACATAAAAATATGTGAGTACGTGTAGGTTAGCTATTGAGGAGGATCGAATTTACTCCAAAGCATTGTGAAAATAGCCACTATCTTACATTTCATAACTGAATTTTTTTTCGAACTATTCTTCTGAGTTTGGTTCATATAGAAGTTATTATATACACAATGTTTCGACTAAGTACTCTCTGGTTATCGTCAGGTGTCAGGTGTGTATTTATTGACTCCCCTCAAAAAGTAGGGAATAATTTCAACGGGAATATTTTTTCGGGATTAGCATTCATTAGACCTTGTTCTATCCGTGACATTTTTCGGAATTTGGGGTCTTGATAATAATATAAACACCGTGTCAAATCGACAACTGACTTCTTATAGAGTTTTCAGTACTTTTGTTTGTTTTTTTCCTGCAAATGTCGCATTTACGTCATTGCTAACTGCGTACTACTGATGTTGTTTCTTTCCAAATTGGTAATACTAAGCAATTATTAATGACGTGGACATAAATTCAAACTTAACATTTGTAAATAAAAAAAAGGAGAGATAACACTGTGAAAAGGCATGGATTAATTTGTCATTGCATTTATATTATGAACAGGACCCTATCCCTTAAAGTTCTGCAAATATAATCCCTTGAGGAAAGTCAAATGAATGGGCATCGACAAAAATTTTTCGCAAGAATCTTTCCGTGTTTTTTTTTACGAGCGAAGCAGTCAGTTTATCAAATGCCAAAAAAGAGGGGAGAGGGAGAGAGTGATAGAGAGAATGAAAAAGAATTCTCACAGAGCAAATAATTCTCAGGACGGGGTCAGATCCTTCGCTTAGGTAAGCAGTAGAGTGGTCGATCAACATCTGGAGTCCACGATGTATACGTGTATCAAGTCAAAGGCTAAAAGCGAACAATATCCGGTAATCAATATAGCACTTCTTCTTCCTACTCTGTTCGGTCAGAGCAATCATTTGGAAGCGAGGAACTTAACAAACGCGAATCCTTCAAAGACAGGGTCGGTCATGTTTGACTGTGCGCGAAACAACATGCAAGGAAGACGGGAATTTTGGAAAATTGTCTTGAGGGTTTTCCTTAGTTGAGTGTAAGAAGGTGGGATGGAAGGTTTTTCACTTTCAAAGACATTGTTCGGTTCGTGTCTCTTTGGCAGGCTTCTGAGTGCCTATCAGATTCACTGTTTAGTCTCGTCTGAAGAATAACCACTACCCACCCAACAAAAATATAGGGTCTTCCCGACGATGTCTAGTATTTGAGGTTGCATGATGGGGCAGTAGGTACGGAGTGTGGACGGGTGCAGAAGAAAGCAGAAAGAAATCAAGGAAGGGTAATGTAAAACTAAATTAATAAAATGGAAGTGTTCCATCCAATATGGCCGACATCGTACAGAAAATGTAAATTTAATATTCTAAATCGACAAAAATGGTGGGCTATGAAAGATCGAAGAGATAGATAGATAATGAACAGACTGACATATATATATATATATATATATATATATATATATATAGATAGATAGATAGATAGATAGAGATAGATAGATAGATAAATGAACAGACTGACATAGATAGATAGATAGATAGATAGATAGATAGATAGAGATAGATAGATGGATAATGAACAGACTGACATAGATAGATAGATAGATAGATAGATGGATAGATAGATAGATGGATAGATAATGAACAGATAGAGATAGATAGATAGATAGATAGATAGATAGATAGATAGATAGATAGATAGATAGATACGAATATATGAGACGGACAGACAGACAAACAGACAGATAGATAGATATGAAAAGAATGAGACAGACATATAGATAGATAATAAACAGTCTGACATAGATAGATAGATAGATAGATAGATAGATACGAATAGCATAAGATAGATAGATAGATAGATAGATAGATAGATAGATAGATAGATAGATAGATAGATAGATACGAATAGCATGAGACGGACATACAGATAGATAGATAGATAGATAGATAGATAGATAGATAGATAGATAGATATGAAAAGCATGAGACAGACATATAGATAGATAATGAACAGTCTGACATAGATAGATAGATAGATAGATAGATAGATAGATAGATAGATAGATATATATATATAAAAAGCCTTAGATTGATATATAGACAGTAATCGATTCAAATTGAAGAAATAAGACAGTTTTGACAATGCTATTTTTTTTTAATGAAACCTTTTAGAAAGAATGATGTTCCGTTGCTAGTGTGGTCTGTTCACTAAACATTACCAAATGGTCTCGTTTCCGGTATTAACGACCAACATAAAATAGATATTTTTATTAATAGTCACAAAGCTTATCAAAGTAAGGCACAAGGTCAAAAGCAGAAGTGATTGCATGATTTGTAAATCCGCTTTCAAAATCATGGCTAAATCCAAATTTCCAATTCAGCTGATTATGTTCATTTCGTGTTATGATTGGAAAAGGCAAGAACTTACCTTTCCCTGTGAAGCGTATCATCGCCAGATATCCTGATGGCTGTGGAGTCTAGTGTAATGTTTATTATCATGAAAAAATAAAATAGGCAAAACGATTTCGAATTTCGATTTAAGATGCTTATATTCACTTCACATTTATATCATTGGGAAAGGAATCATTCACCGATTGTATATCAAGAAGAAATTCATTCACTGAACACTTAGATAAATCTCACTCCCATATTGAACTTGCCACTAGTTTTCTCGGCGCTGTGGGATTCATTTGCTTGGGACGCAACTAAGAAATTTTACCTCTTATTGGTATAGCACAAGATTAAATATATAAAATATATATTCGGAATCATGTGTTTTTCTCTGTAACTCATGCCCCGAAGAAATCTCCGGATATATATCAGCTTAGGACGATTAGCCACCACAAAAAGAGAACAATGAATAAGGGAATAGAACATACCACTTTCAACGTTTGAGAAAATCTTCAGGAGTTTAAGTTGTCTGTGAGTATGTAAATGTGTTTTTGTGAATTTAAAACATTTCAACTGTTCATTTTTTTACTGCTTATGCAGCGTTGTGGATTTCAACCTTCAGATTTAATATAAGAAAAAATAACTTTGTTTTTTGCTCATACGTATATATATATATATATATATATATATATATATATATATATATATATATATTATAATAATATTTTTGTTTAAAATATGATTCCTTCGCTACATAAGAGTTCTCATGTTTCAAAAACGAGAGCCGAAATATCCAGATAATTATTAAAATTAAGTTGGATTGTGGTGTTTAGTCCCGTAATAAAAATATTATTATAATATAAGCTCTACTTCTGTATGGAGCACTGTCTTCTTAAAAATAAAAAAAACAAAAAAAAATAAGGAACCCCGGATTATGCACCCAACGTGTTCTTTTCTATTTTCTGCATACCTACGCGCATATATATATATATATAGATACATATGTATATATAAATATTTTTATTAACATTCAGATGTGTGAACGCGTGTGCATACATACATACGTGTGTGCGAGAAAACATAATTCGGTGAACAAAATGAACGAACGGTCTGCGCGATGACACCGCAACTGACAAAAGATGTTATTTTCTGTTAATACGTTATTTTTATAGATACAAATATTTAAGGAAATGCTCTGTTTATAATGAACAGTATTAACATTTAGCGGCTTGAATGTTCGAGAAATTTCATAGAAAATAAGTGTCCGCCGACAGTAATTGAACCTGTATCCTGGCGGTTCCGTGTAGGATATAGCTTCGATTCCTGTCGGAGGACATATATATATAATAAAATAATTGTCAGACTTAGTCCGTTTCATAATATATGATGTCATTTTTTTAAGATAAGCTTCGAGCATATATGAGTGTTCGAGAAACATCATGGGATATTTGTAGTTTGTATATATATATATATATATATATATATATATATATATATATATATACGCACGCACACACCTGGTGCTTTAAATGCATCGGTCTTCGTAAGAACTGAGCACTATGACGGCCAGTATGGCGTTTATATATCACGTATATAGTGCGTTAAAATACCGTTTCTCTGCCGGGCACCGATAGCCGAGGGACAGGGGTCCCTAACGATCGAGTTTCGATCCCGGCTTGATGCAATCGGATGTATAGCCACACTGATGAGCTGTGATACAGCGAAACAATCTGTCTGTGGATTTTATATATATATATATATATATATATATATATATATATATATATATTAGTCTTTTCACCATAAGGAAAACAATGAAACCACTGTGACAACACAAATGATTACTGGCTGTTAGAGAAAATATACTATTAATGAGAGAAGGCAATAAAAGAACAAGAATTAAGAAGATAACGCCTGACAATAAATTTAAATCTTTGAAGATCAAAGTTGATTGGAAAGCCGGAAGACAATTCCACAAGCGAGGAGTGCGATGAATTTACCGTTACATCTAGCCATTACAACAGTAAAATAATGAAAACTTGCCACCAACCTAATGTTCCGCTTAAATGTATATGGTTTAGGTACCATAGAGGAAAGTTCATCAGAAAGATTACCATGAAGATATTTATAGAAAAGGTACAGGGAAGCTATATTACGACGATGAGAATGTGACTGAAACCGAGATGCTAAGTCAGGACCAATAACATTGCAGATTCATCTTCAGGTATTGTCAAAAACATCAGACCAGATATAGTAGCAATATTCTCAAGCAATGATGAGTGGTAGACTTATAAATATGTAAAATAGATTCTGGCAAGAAAAACCATCTAGCTCGACACAGTAAACCAATCTTCCTAAGTGCAACTGATTCAATATACTCTTTCCACCTCATATCAGCGGGAAACGTTAGTTCGACAAGGTGCAATGTGTCACTCTTCGGGGGTTAGAAGTAGCCATGTTGATGAAGGGTCAAAAGAGTTCTCCAAGACGATTAAATGGGAGCAGATTCGTTTTGGAGACGTTAAAAGAAACAAGCCATTGCCCACTTTCACAGCAAATTGTAGGTCATTTTTAAGATCAGCTGCCAATTTGAACTTATCGAACTGGTCAGATTTATTATTAAGACAGGTGTAAATAGTTGTGTCTCAGTTGTCCATAACTGTTCACACACACATACACACGCGCGCGTGGGGGGGGGTAAGTGTATGTTTGTGTGTACAAATAAGTTTGATTAAATATAACTGCCGACAACTTTTTTTGAAAAGTAATATAGAATATGGAACAGATTTTTGAATTTGCTTAATAAATTTACTGTTCAGTGCACGATTGCTTTTTATAAACATTTATAATAAATTACAAATGTTTCAATTCATGTAAAAGTGACATTAAATCTATTTGAAACTGGTTGACACAGACCAGTTTGTTTAGGGACGAGAACGCTAAGACGGAACCCGATCAACAACTGACGGATATATATACTCTACACGCAATTTTTTTACTTTAAAATACCTTAAAATGAGATATTTTCGGGGTTTTTTTTTAAAGTAAAAGATAACATTTCTACAACTCCAGTGCATATGCTTTTATTTCTCCGTCTTTTTTCCTCGTTCGTCTTATTACCAACAGTTCAAATTTGGATCCGTCTGTCCACAATACATTTTGCTAAATTATGAGTATTTTGTATTACAGTCATTATATTTAGAATTTCTGAATATAGAGCAAAACAAGAATCATTCGATATTGAAAAGACATGTTATAACATCTAGTTACGCATAATTGAGAGAAAAAGATCACCTTTCAACACGACAGCTATCCAAAACACTCTTTTAAATTATGTCAAAATTACCTGAAATAAAAAAAAAATATGATTTAGCTGCCTCAGTCTCTAGACCTGTCTCTCATTATATTAGTATTGTATGAAATGGCGAAGAGAGTTCAAAGAGAATACTCAAAGCGTAAGCTTGAGCTTTTTCCAGTGTTTGAAGAATGTTTGAGAAGGTCTGCCATCAATATTTTTTTTCAAAAATAGTTGGAAAGAGCATCAAGAATATGTAAAGCAATAATTAAGGTAGGTGGTGGTTTTATTGACGAAACAAAATTTGTTGCTTTTGTATAATAATTTATTTGTATAATTAAGTGCTTATATTGTTGTCACAATAAAAGCAAATGCTTTGTAGTTACTGAAATTTTATCTGTTACGTTAAAATTACAAATGTTTCTCATTTAAGGTGTTTTTTAATGCAATTAACCCCAAACGTTATGCCTCCAGTTTATATACATGAATATGTCCTGAATAATAAACTAAATATTCAAATTACATTAAATGATTACCAGATCAAGAACGATGAGTATTTAACATGTTAAAAACGTTGCACGAATACACAAAGGTATATATACAATATAAAAAATACTATTTAAATATAGGATTTTTAAAAAATTACAATTTTTTTACAATATTTTCAGAGATCACACAAATAAGTCAAAATATTTAATAGAACAATTATAATAATTACAGTTGAATGTATAACAATGACCTAATAATGAAAAGGTTTAATAACACTATTAAATAGCAACAATGCAAAAAGTCCAGCAAAAATATAATAGTAGAAACAAAATCAAAAACCCATTACAATAAAATGGCTAAGTGAAAATATATTATTCAAGGCGAAATGATAAGAGAGTCTAGGAGAAGAAAGCGTTTTCATCGGATCAAGTGAGAAATAATTTTATAGAAACATATCCGAACCAACTCCCATAAGAATACACACTGGAACTCTGAATGTCAGAGGAAACACCATTAAGCGAATGTTGTTTAATAAAAAAAGATATTGCGAAAGAAAAGTCGAAATTGTAAATTATGTGTAGAGAAGAAATAGCAAATAATGTAATTTTAATATATTGCTGCCATATGTTATTTTGAAATATGAGTTTCCATTTAAAGAAGAGTAAATTGAATAACCGCTGGTTGACGGTCCGGTGGTATTTGGCGCACATGTCTTTCTTACTGGACCAGGAATCGCTTCCAAGGCGTCTGACACCCTTCATGCAAATGTTCGTCTTCATACGAAGGTTGTCACATCATTCTTCATCAATTTTTTTCCTCTCTTGACTATAAATTCTTGATAAAATATGACAATGCTAAATAAATATTAGGTTGGTGCAAAAATAATGTCGTTTTCTCACATATGTTACTTTTATATATGATTTCTGAATTAATTCATTGATATATATAGCCATGTTATATATCATTTTGAAGCGCGTTTTTCGCTCTATTGAATCGTGTTATTCGTTACCGTTCTCAATCTCTTCATTCATTTTTTTGCAGGTTTTTCGACAGCATTGACAAAATTCAAATCCGCACGA